CCTGATTTTCACCCTATTTCATATTCAGCCCTATTTCACAGGGTTCCTGCACAAGCAGCATGGCTTGGTCCATCCTTCACCCTTCAGCAGTTCTGCTGGAGTGGGTGGCCATGTTCTCTGGCCAGCAGCCCTTCTCTGTTTTTTCAGTCTTATGCCAGTATTTAAATTGTAAACTAAGCTGAACATTTTAAAAAGTGATCAGAATTCTTTCTGCTAAGGGTTTTCATCACCGAATTCTGTTTGGTCCAAGCTGGAGCTGTGTGTGCTCCAGGGGAACGCTGCTGAGGCTGGGGTCTCTCAGATTAACTCTTGAGGCAAAGAGAAATGCTCTACCATTGTTCTGGTGCCAGAAAAATGGAAATCACACTTCCCAACCTCTTATTTCTTCCAGCCTCAGATATTGCCCCAATTATTAGCTTTGCTTCTTCCCCATTGAATTCCTTTAGGAATGTTAGGAGATGGCATCCAGTCCTCCTGATTGTTCCTGGAGCTTTTGAGGATGCTTTGATTCAGGATAGCTCCTCCTGTTGTACCAGAGCTCTGTGTGTGACACACTCTGTGTCTTGCCCGTGACTGTGGAGTTTCTTGGCGTGGCTCTGGGCATCTGGAATGGGATTCCTGCAGCAAACCCTCAGGTCCCACTCCGGGCTAATGATTTGCAAAGGAACCAGTTAAAACAAATGCCTGTTTCAGTTGGGATCTAGAGAGGCTTGCAAACATGCCAGACCTCCGTAATGGATCTCTGGAGGGAGAACAGTGCCTGGAGGAGCTCCAAGTCCCACCTTCCTCCTGCACATCACTGAAGAACAGCTCCCTCCTGTGCTCGCTGAGCCTTTGCTGTGCTGGGGACAGCGCTGGGTCACAGCCAGCTCTCTGTGCAGGCACCGACTGGCTTTTCAGGCATGGTATCTGCTGTGTTTATTGGGGAAAAGTGCCCTCTTTTGCATTTCTTGGTGAGTTTTTCAACAAGTAGATTTTTTTTTTCCACTCTACCAATGATTGTAACAGGATTTTATTCTCCTGCAGCCAGCTGTTAGCAATTAGCAACTTGATCCAGTCGGGCCTGGGAACAGAGTTTAACACTTTCTTGCCTCTCAGAGGATGTTGCTAATCCTGTTTTTGCTGGTTTCAGGCTTGTGCTGTAGTTTTGGCACTTGGTGTGTATGTGTGGGCAGGGTGGGAAGATAGGCATGACTACAGCAAAGGGCTCTAATGCAGCTGAAAGAAAACTATGGAGCCATTTACACAGAAAAAGTCCTTAGTAAGATGATTCCCAAGCAGTTTGTACAGAGGGTTGTATTTAGTAGTAAATCCATTGTGTCCTAGCTCTGGGAATTGTGCAATTTGGGAATCCAATCTCCTCCTGGATGAGATTTAGACTCAGCCCCAATCAACATCAGTAGTTCTTCAAAAGAGTGATTTCTGCAGATGGAGCTCCTGAGTGGGGCTGAACCTCCTTCAAAACTTTCACCCTCTGAAGGCGTGAAAACCACTCTTGCTGACTTTGCTTAGAGCAGCAGCTGCTGTGTAGCACTAAAAGCTGAGAAATGGCATTGTTTGCTCCCTCTGTGCATCACCTCTCCCAGGACTCACTGACAGGCACTTCAGTGGTCCAGGGCTGGGAACCAAATGTGGTGAGAGAAACAAACCCAGCAGAACCTGAACCAGCTGCTGAGCTCCCTGTGCAGGGATGAACTGCTGGAAAGAACTCACCACTGCCACAAAGGTGAGAATTCATCTTACCAAGCAGGACTAGTCCAGAGCAGCCTTTTCCTGTGTCAGCAATGGAGACCCTTCCAGAGAAGATTCATCCTGCTTGTCTTGGATACTCTTTAGGCAAGGGCCCAATTCAAAGCCAGCTTTTGTAGGCACAGAGCTGCTGACAGGTGAGCTCTAGATCAGCTCTGGGGCTTTCATTTCCTCTCCTCTCCTGGAGGCCAGTCTGGCTCTGTGGCCACACCTTCCAATTCTGGGTTCAGTTCCCCCAAGCCGCGGTATTTTTGTGGTCCTGCAGAGATCCATGTGCCCATCAAGTCCTGAGGAGCCCTTGGTTGTCAGGATGGCACCTACACCTGTCTGTGCCCCCCAGTTTGTACCTTTGCTCCAGTGCTGGTTGCTGGCTTGGTGGCAGGAGCTGAAATGGTGCTTGGGCATTTGTGTGACTTCCCTTATCCCCACACCTCATTCCTTCTTTCCTCCTGATATTTTACATTCTTATCACCACATTCAGGTGGTTAAATGATGTGACTGGCTCTGTGGCAGCACAGAAGGTGTCATTTCAGAACACGGCCTGATATTTGCATAAAACAAATGGGCACTTAAGTTATGGTGCTTGTTCAGGTGAGTTAATGGTGCTGTTTGTGGTGCATTTATTCAGTTGCTGTGACATTGGTGGCTGTTGTCGTTTTGAGAGGATAGGGGCACAGCACAGTACTCTGTTGTCAAAGGGAAGTCCTTATGTTAAGTTTCAGGGTGAGCCCTTCCCCAGTGCTTGCCACCCCAGCTGGGCTGTGAGTGCTGTGCTGATGGCAGAGGATGGATCGTGCCCTGCTCTTGATCCCTCTTTGCTGGGCTTTTGGAACAAATGGGATTTGAGCACTTACTGGTGTCTGGGGCTGTGCTTGTTTCTTTCTTGTTTCAGCAGTGGGGCTTGGGCCCTCAACCTAACCACGATCCCTATTTCAGTCCTTTCCAGCCATCCTTCCCCTTATTCCTGGGCAAGTTGCAGAGAAATCCCTGTGTGTTTTGGTGGAGCCAGCCTGAGTGTTGAAGCTCACCCAGTTTGCCAGGCTCTGGAGGGAAGATGAGGAGGTGCAGTCTGTGTGTGGTGTCATTGGCCATTTGAGGGCTCCTTGTTGGGAGCTTTTAAACATGCAGCTCAGAAGTTACCTGGACATGGCTCCAAGCTGCTGTTCTCCTTCCAGGCCCTCCTCAACAAGCTGCAGCTCTGGTCAGTTGCTGGTCCAGCTTGGGCACCCATGGGAAGGATCTATCCTGGACTTTACCCATATGGTGCAGCTGATCTGTCATGGGCAGGGCACCACCAGACAGGTCTCTGCTGAGTTCCCATCATCTCCTCCAGGAAGGTGTTCGAGTTAAAGCCTTGATGTTGGTGACAGGTCCCTTTCTCACGTCCTGTGGCAGGACTGTCTCCCCCAGTGCTGAACTCTCTGCAGTTCCCTTTGCAGCTCCAGCTTTGGGAGCTCCCAGGACACCTTAGCAAATCACCTGCTTAAATTAACACCCACAAAGTCTGTCTTCAAACTGTGCCCCAAAACTTCTTTTACAAAGTCTCCCTCCAGCTGAGCACACAAAGTCTCTTCTCTGTGGGAGTTTGTCTGCCCTGGGATGGTGGGAATGGAGGTGTTTTCAGCAGGAATCACCTCCTTCCATTCCAGGGGGGAAGGATGACCTTGGAGGCACAAACAGCTGCAGAGTGCTTGGTCAAAACCTCTTCTGTGGTCGCCAGACCCTCCTGCTGAGATCTGGGCTTGTGCTTTGCTTTTGCAGGCTCGCCACGGGGGATGTCACAGGATCACAGCCCCTTCCCAGCCCTGGCCAGGGTGCCCGCGTAGGGAGCCACGAGGTGGCTGGAGCAGGAAGGAGCTGGTGATTTTAAGGTGTTTTTTGGTTGCCTGGCTGGGCACAGCAAGGCACAGCCACCCAGCATTAGCTCCTGCTCCTGCCTGTGTGTTTGGCTCCCTGCCCAAGAAGGCCCTTAGTTGTTTTTCAGGCTCAGAGCCATCTTTTCTGATGGAATCCAGCAGGGACAATGGCCAGTAGCATATCCTTAGGAAAGAGAATAAAAACAGGGCATGCTCCAGTGATTCTAACCCCGATTTAGCTTCTAGGCATCCAGCAATCTGCAGCTGGGGGATTTCCCAAGCCAAAGGTTTTACCTTTGGATTTAAGGAGCTGTGGAGTATCTGTCTGTTGTGAATATATCCAGTTTCTTGGGTTTCCATGGCAGCTCAGGGCTGTGACTTGTACAGTTTGATTATGTTGGGTGGAAAAAGAGAGCCTTTTGTTACCAATGTCTGAGTTAATGGCATCTGATGCTCCTGCATGCATGCATGCACTGGCACAGTGATGGGCCCTTTTATAGCCTCTCCTCCTTCACTAACAAATCCCAACATTCAGCCCTGCCTTTTCACTAAAACTCCGAGGATTCTTGAGCAAACACCTTCTGGTCCTGGCAACTTTACATTTATTTTTTTGTTCTGTTTTCTTTTCTCCTGTCATTCCATTATGAACCTGCCCTCTGTAAAATTATCGTTCAGGATGGGAGCCTCCCAAGGCTCTTTGCAGTGAATATGGACACAAAGAATTCACATAACTGCTGATCTGACCTCCTGTTCCTTTAGGTGTTAGCTTGGCTTTCCAATGAAATTGCCAGCGTTCAGGCCTTTGCTATTCTCCTTGTTTCCAAACAGGAAATGAAATGTGCTCACCCATGCGAGTGCACATGCACTTTTGACAGCAGTGTGGACCCGCAGGGAGAGCTTTTTTTCACCTTGTTTTGGACCTTTAAGATAAAGTTGTGTGGCAAGTTCCAAGGTGCCCACTTGGCTACTTGGTGCCAAGGTTTAGGTGGATAAAACCTGGTTGGACTGCCCAGGTTCATTTGTAGCTGCAGTTTCACTATGTGGTAATTTAGTAAGGAAAGGGAAGTATTGATGAGGGAGAGATTACTTTGCACTGGACTTGTTTCAGAGCAGTTAAGAGGGTACATCCATCCATCCATCCAGTCATGGCTGCTGAGGGCCTGAAAGATGGATTGCACTGGTAGATTTAGGGGTGCTATAGACAGTCAAGTGATCATTGGTTCTTCACTAAGCCTCTGATCTGGTGATGAGCAGAGCAGGGCTGAGGTCAAAGACACTCTTGAAAGCAGGGAAGATTGCCCAGGCTGTCACGAGGCAATGACACACAGCAACCCTGCAGCACAGACAAGTCCTGTCTCTGGAGGACTCATCCTCTCTCTTTGCTTTGTCTTTCAGAGATGTAGATGGCAGCTGCTGCCTTTGAAGGACTCGTCTGACCCTGTGCAGCACCTCCAGTTGCTACCATGATCTTCTGCATGCTGCTGCTGGCCTCCCTGCCTGAGCCCTCTGGCACCGAAGTCAACCCTGGTAGGGAGCTGCCAGGCTGGGAGAGGACTCATCTCCCACCTTCTGTGTGCTCCTTCTCAGCCTTTCTTTGCCTCTCATGGGGGTTGAGTGTGAAGGTTGCACGTAGAGAGAATCACTGATGTTGCTCCTGAATGTCCTCTGGACTGAGATATTCCTGCACAGCTATGCTGGACTGGGACACTGTCCTGCCAGTCCCAGGAAGGCCTGGGCACATGGACATCCTCCTTTTTCTGCCCACTCAGGCCTGTCTTGAGCTCTGAATATCCCTCCATGGCTTTGACTGCGTGGCCTGGAGGACAAACCCTGCCTCAGACTGGCTCAGAGGTTCTGCTCGCTGTGGAAAACAAATTACCAGTTAGCAAAGCCTCAGCCACTGCTCTCCAGCCAGCAAGGGATGTTCTGGAGAGAGAAGTGTGGAAGGACAGATAGAAAACCTTACCTGGCACAAAGATAGGGAGGAGGCAGGGATGTGAGCCTGTGAGTCCCTGTGGAGGGCAGGACCTCTTATCCTACAGCATTTGGCAAGATACAGTCCTGATGGAGGTGAATTAGATAATGGTCTGCAATGTGTTGCAAAAATTCCTGTAATGAGGTGTTTTGAGCTGGAGAGAGTCTGTGAAATAAATGAGTTTAATCCTTTTCCAGCTTGGCTGAAGGTGTGGTGAGGCAGAAGTGCTTCCCTGAGGGCCTGTGCTGGCTCTGCTGGGGCTGGCTCTGTTTGTTTGCAGCCCTTTGTGGCTGGCTCTGACCCTGCTCTGGCCTGTGGATATTTGCAGAGGTTTGAGGTTGTGCTGCAACCAGCCAGAAGTGAAGTGAGGGTTGTGGGGGAGCTCAGCAGCATTCCTGTGCTCCCTGTTACACAGCATTCCCTGCACTGTGCACCCCACCACACACCAGTGTGGAACTGGGGCTGCCATCTGCTCTGGTGGTCAAACCTCGCAGAGAGGAGGGATGGCAGCTGCAGGGTCAGTCCCAGGCAGATTCCTTTTGATGGTGGCTGGTGCAGGACCAGCTCTTCCACACCATCTCCAGGGAGGTGGGAGGGCTCTGAGCACGGGTCTGTGGTCCCATCTGCTGCAGGAGTCTCTTCCATCAAAAAGTGACCCCTCACACTTATCAGCTCTGTGACATCCTCAGGCAGTTTTGCTTCCTCAGCTCCCCCAGCTGCTCTGGTGCCTCTGCCCAGGGCTTGCCCTGCTCTTCCCAGGCAGATTCCAGCCCAGTTCCCACCATGGCCCAGCTGGTGGTCTTGGCTGTGATGCCACAGGATTATCCTGACCTCTTGACCTGCTCCAGGAGCAGCCTGAAGCATGTCCTGCATTGCCTTTTATCCCACAGGAGCTGCTTTGGGGGTGATTTCAGACCTGTGCAGCAGGGTCCTGCTGTGTCCTCTTGTCTTGTATCAGTTGTTTGACCTCACTGAGAGATGGGCTGGGCCACCTCTCTGAGCCCCTGAGTGCACAGTAAAGGGTCAGCAGTCCTGGTGGCACCTAAACAGAACCCAAGGATGATTTTGCTCAAGATAGGTGCATTTGATGAGAGCCTCATGCTGCTGGTTTTGGTGAGAGCTGTGGCCACCCACAGAGTACATCCCTCAATGCCAAGGACACTCTGGGTTCTGCTGCCAGCCCTGGGCTTGTGAACAAATGGGTTTTGTTCAGGTTTGCAGGAAGACTCAGTCCCCCAGAGTCCTTCCCAGCTAGCTCTCCATCTGGCATTGCTGGCCAGTCTGTCTGACCTTTAAATAAGGTGTGGGCACACAGGACTCACACTGCAGGAGCACAAAAAGCACTTTCTGCTTTCAGATGGTGACCCCACCCTTTTGGAAAACCTCCATGTTCATGGTTCATGTACCTCCATGTACCCACAGTTCAGCAGCAGATGGGATTGTGCTGGTCTGTGGGGGACAGGTGGGACTGCAGACAGTCAAGGCTGGTTTGGCTCCCCTGACCTGAGTGTGCAGTGTAAGAGCAGTGGTTGGAACTCTTGGTTGGCTTTCAGCAGGCACAACTGCTCTTGATCCCAGTTTCCTCCCAGGGAATTCAGGCCTCTTGGCAAACCCCAGGCCTGTGAATGCTGTGGGTGATACCAGGAGCCCACCCAGCTCTGTGACACTCCAGCAGGATCCCATCCCTTCCCTCTGATTCTGAAAGGGTGCAGGGATGGGCTGGCACAGCAGAGCTTTACCCCAGGGATGCCCTCAGATCACTGCAGCTTCCAGAGCCAGGGCTTGGCTATTTATTGGCTTGTGGTGGCTGTGAGTTTATTCAGCTGGTTTTTTGAACCCATGGGAAACTTCAGCATTGGAGTGTTGAATAGGTTAAGGATTTATATTCTGTTTTTAAGCTCTCCTACCTGACCTTTTGATGCCTCCTGGTTCTGGTGTTTTGAGAGACAGTGAGGATATCTATTGTTCAGTATAAATTATCTTTGTCATACTTCAGTAATCCCTTTTGTAAAGGTGAGGCTGCTGATCTTTCCTTCTGCATCATCTGTGTTGCCTTCTATGCCTTTTGATGAGGGAAGGAAGAAGCAAGAGCTCTATTCCTTACCTGCCTGGTATGTGGCCATGAATACAGGCAGTGCTGTAATGCTGATTCTAGTTTGTTTTATAGGTATTCCCACCTTTACCTTGAAAAAAATATTAGATATTTTTGAATATTAAATAATCTGGTATCATTAGCAAATGTTGTCACCTCACCAGCCATCACCTTTACCTGATGATTTAGGAATACTGAGCACATCACACATTCACTGATACAGTGCCTAACAGCTGCAGGCAAACCCCACTGAAGCACCACCCTCTGTTTGCAAACATTTCTACATCAGATCTGTCAGGCAGTCATTCAGCCTGGGGTGCTTTATTCTGTGTAGTGATAACAGCAAGGTGGTTTTCATCCCTCTGTCTTGTCTTGTAGCTTCTGAACCTGCTGAATGGATTTCATGGAATCCCAGAATCTCCTGAGTTGGAAGGGACCCACGAGGATCCTTGAAGTGCAACTCCTGTTGAGCTGTATCCAGGTTTGGTACAAGGGTGTCAGGAAATCATCTCCAAGGTCCCTTCCAACCCAGCCCATTCTGGGATTTTGGGAAACCAGGAGGACACCCAGGGCAGCTCTGCCTGAGGGAGAGGCAGCCAGAACTGCTCCTGTGGCTGAGCAATGTGGCAGTGAATACATTGGGATTTAGAGTTTTCCCAAATGTCTCTAATGCTCCAGGACATGTTTAAAAACTTGTGTCAGGAGAGAGGACCTCAAGGCCAGCTAGGATTTGTCAGCTGCATCTGCAGGGTACTGGTGTGGGGAGCTTTTGGAGAGCCATGGCTGAGCCACTTGTGTCTGTGCTCCCTGCAGGCACCAAGTCTGAGAGAATTCCCATGCTGGGGAGAAATGCTGGCTCCAGCTGAGGCTGGAGGCAGGAACAGACTGGGATGAGGGAGGATGGATGGACAGGGGCTCAGATGTGAACTCCAGCCTGCAGTGACAGGACAAAGCAGATGTCTCCATGACTTGTGATCTGTAATACATGTTTAACTTCTCCCTTGTATCTGAACTGATGAAGATAACAATTCTTCCCATTTGAGCACAAGTCAAGCATCCAGTTTATTGCAGGGCAAGAAAAATCTTGAACAAAAGCTTCCTTTTTATGTCCCATCATTATTGATGAATAATTTGTCACTGTAGAATGAGTCCATGCAACCAATAACAATAATATGGTTTGGGGATTTCATGCTCTTAAAAATGTTTCTTTGTAAAATTTTTGCCTTGCCTGGGCTCTGCTGAATGATACTGTAATGCATTACTTATCATTTCAGTTTATGATAGTTATAAAATATTTAATCCTTTTTAATTATTATTCTTTATTTTAACATTACCGTGTTTATTCCCTGGGTGTGATAACCTTTTAATTAAACTTGCCTGGTGATTTTACAAGAAATGAGTGCTGATCTTTGTTGTTTTCTTGCCCATGTTCCCATTTTTAGCAATCTGTCGTTACCCCCTGGGGATGCACGAGGGGACCATCCGGGATGAGGACATCACTGCTTCCAGCCAGTGGTACGACTCCACAGGGCCCCAGTATGCACGGTGGGTTCACCTCTGACAACAGATTTATCCTTTTTTCCCCTAGATACCCAATATGTGGTTGAGGAAGAAGATTCCCCCCCCCCCCCTTAAAACCTTGTTTGCTGTTTCAGTGTTCAATCTGGGCAGTGCACAGTGAAAGGCCAAGAGGCAATGGCAATGGTCACAGCTGTGATACAGGAAATTCTGGTTAAATATTAAGGGAAAAAAAAATCCTTCTCCATCAGAATGAAGTGGGGGCATGGGGACCCAGAGAGGTGGTGATGTCTCAGTATTTGGGGACTTGGAGCTGGCACTGCTGTGAGCAGGGGGTAGGACTGGAGACTCAGAGGTTGCCTCTGAGCCCCATCCTTCAGTCACTCTGTGAATAAATCTCCAAAGGATTTGTGATTTACAGGTCAGCCAGGGACAGTGCCCCTGGGATTCTTGTGGAGTGCTTTAAACTAAATCATAGGAAATCCTTTACAAGGATGAACTTTTCAACAGCATCCTATTGAGGAAATGGGCTGTGCTCACTCTGCCTCAAAAACCTCAGAAATGCAGTTAAGGAATTGTTAAGCAAGCAGCTAAATTATTTTCTTCATTGTCAAGGAGGTCTAGAGTCTTTATCATAAGCTTTGCTTTTCGGTTTGTTTTTTTTTTAATCATTTTATTTCTCCCAAAGCTCTTAACTGATGATTCACAAAAGAGTTGCAAATGTGAGTTTCCTTAGAATTGTTTTTAGTGGTGATATCAACCATTCCTACAGCTTTGGTGCAACTCAGATAGGAATTTCAGGTTAACTGTGATACTTACGTTTTTATGATGAATTCAGGCAGTCCAAAATAATAAAATTCTCCTAGTGCTCAAATATTTTTTGTCTTGGTAGAGCAGTGATGCTGTGTGCTGTATTTTAATAGTGTTTGTGGGTCTGTTTGTTTAATAGGCCTGTGGGTCTGAAAGCTGGGAGATTTTTCCTCTGAGTATGGCTTATGTCCAGTGCTGCAAACACTTTGGGCATCTCTTGCCATCTGTTACCATCCTCTCTTTGCTGGGGCAGCTGGATGTCCACAGGGTGAAGGAATGAAGCTGACCTCATTTGCTTAGAGGTCAGAGCTGTCCCATGCAGATGTCTGTCCCTGCCACTTCAGTCACCTTTCCTGCCTTTTTTAGAGCTTCTTTTACTTGTTATTCCAGTGTAAGGAAGTCTTGCACAAACAGCTGACCAGCCAGAGATGAAAATATTCTCTGGCCTGAGCCTTGATCTTCAGTGTCTCCTCCTGGGTACCACTATGCCCTCACTGATCCCATCAGTTGGAGGTGGGGTAGCTGTTTGAAAGCCAAGGGCACTTCAAGGATTTGCTGTTGGTTAAGAAATCTCTGTTGCTAAAAAACCACACATTTTTGGTGTGCAGATAAATTTTTCACAACTGCAGCTCTCAAAATGTTCAGCTTAGGAGCAGAGACCTTTCCCCCCACTCTCCTAGCAGCAACCTACACCAGCAGCTCTGCTGACTGCAGGAAATGTGAAATATGCATTGAAATGACCCAGAATAATTTCAAGCAGAGCTTTTCTCGCTGAAATGTATTTTTAAGGTGGTTCCTCTTTGAGCTTTTTAGAGCTGCAGGAGGTGATCAAGCAGAAGTTCAGGCCTTACCATGTGGGGTTTAGGAGCAGTGAGGATGCACTTTAGCAGCAAGGTGCTACAGAGCAGCAGAGTTTTTCTGATCAATGTGGAAATTCATGTCTTGGGAAGAAATTACTCCAAGTAGTTAATGAAAGATATCTGGAACTGAGGAGCTGTTCTGCATGGGTCAAAACTGCCTGTAGGATTGGAGTCTCAACTGGTCATCATCCCAAAGGGCAGAGGTATTTGGTAGCCATTGCTGGTTTTGTTTCTTCCTCCCGGTCCTCAGAGTTCTGGGTGTTTCCTCAATTAGTCGTATGAAATCTGATTCTTTTTAATGCCTGTGATTTTCCCCCTCAGGTTACAGAGGGAAGAGGGGGATGGAGCCTGGTGCCCAGCTGGTTTGCTGGAGCCTGAAGATGTGCAGTTCCTGCAGATTGACCTGCACAAGCTGTTCTTCATCACCCTGGTGGGCACCCAGGGCCGGCACGCCCGCGCCACGGGCAAGGAGTTTGCCCGCGCCTACCGCATCGACTACAGCCGGAACGGGGAGCGCTGGATCTCCTGGAGGGACCGCCAGGGCACCAGGGTGAGCCTGGGGAGCTGGGTCTGCCTGGAACACTGCACTGTGCCAGGCACATCCTCCCCATCCTGCTTAGTGCATTGTGCTCCATCCTGGCTCTGCTGGAGCAGCGTGTTCTGCCTCAGTTCTGTGCTTGCTGTGCATCAGCTGGTCTGACTTGGTTTGAAAGCCAGGTGTCTGCCAAGGAAGGCAGGAGCCTCTCTTGAATTGAAAAATGTAAAGCATATCCCTCAAAGTTATAATAATTTTGAAATTAAGGGGCTCTCAGGCAAAGATATGGGAATAGGAATAACAGTTTTTTACTAGGAAAATTAAAATAGAAATCCAGTGTTACAAAGAGCAAACACAAAACACGGCCAGAGTGAGAATCCAAGGTGCCCCCGTCAGTCAGTCAGGGTTGGTGCAGTCCCATTCCATGGTGGCTGCATCCTCCTGCAGTGACAGATGTGGTTCTGCTGGAGCAGGGCTCCTGCACAAGGTGCAGTTTTCCTCCAAAGCTGCAGG